TGCTTCCATCTGTCATTGCTCCTTGACTCTCCAAAGGAGTCAAAACACTGGATCCGGCTGTATAGCCTGACCCTGAATTCTCACTGTGCCACTTCTTCTGAAGAAGACCAAGCAAAGCCTTCTCATCTTCATCTGTCCATCCAGACTTGGCCATGGCTGCAAACCAAACCGCGTCCGGTAGTGAAAAAGCACTAGACCGTGGCTAAACTCTTAGGAGCAATCAACCTAGAACGTGAAACGAAGTATCGAACCGCCATCACAATCGTGATAGGATCAGTAACCTTTCAGATTGTTCTGCGCTGCGCACACACACACACTGCATCTTACAGTATCGCGCAACAAAACTCTGCACAAGATGAAACATGGTGAAAACTCCTGTTTGTCTTTGGCAACGTTTGTTTGAAAAACAACGTGCAAACAGAAATGAAACGAAATGAAACGAAACGTGGATCCAACTTCTGTCTCTCTCTCTGTCACAGGGTCCCCCTTTTAAACGCAAATTCAACTCTTCTTCTTCGAAGCATGTTTGACCGCAATCAAAATGTATCTTGCCAACTTTCGGTTGTAAAACGCTGTTTCAGTATAGTTGATTTGATAAAGTTCTGCATGAGTCTGGCATGTACATGTAGAAAGTTTGGAGTGAAGATTTAGTGCAAACCAGGCTGAATTGGAAACAAACTTCAATGTCTTTCCAATCGGAATACCATCCTTGTTCTGACATCCAGTCTTGCACAACCTCACCAAAGCCTCATGCCTCATGTCAAAACTCTGCAAAAGATTCACTGTCTCAGGTCGGGACCAAATGGTATTTCGTTCTGGAAGCTCAAACGAACATGAGTCTGCATGTTTGAAGTAACCACCAATCGCGTTGATGATCTCATCCCATTCCTGGTCCTTTTCAGTGACTGAGTCCGGATTGAAATTGCGAAGCGGACTTCCACTTCCACAAGGAGTCGATGCATGAATATGCACCCAAGGTGGACATGACGAATTCTTCCACTGTCGAATGCAAACAGTTACACGACTCAACGTTCCAGAACTCTGCACCTTAGCAACTACACCAATGTATGGGACTTTCGAAACTTCACAGACCTTTCTCAAGTTCGAATGTTCCGAACAACACAGTTCCACAATCGCAATTGAAGAACCCTGAGTCAACACTTGCTGCAACACACTCAGCTCACGAAGCTCTGCCAACTCAGCTGTCAAACCATCTGGTACAACAATCCCAAGAGCATAACGGTGTTTGTAGAAAGCTTTAGCACTCAAGCATTTAGTGAAAAGATCTGCTGGATTTTCAACACCACTTCTGTGTCTCAATTTCAACAAACCCTCTCCCATCTGCTCTCGTAACCAATGCAATCTTATTTCAATGTGTCGTGAACGTCGTGGCACGTCCATGGATCTCACAAGTTGCAATGCGGAGCTTGAATCGCTCTCCAGCCAAATCACAACTTCTTCTGGCTCATCAATCTCATGAAGTGCAAAAAGAAGACGGTGAACCAGTCTTCCAAACGCAACGCTTTCTTGACACACTGATTGCAAACCATAAAGTTCTGCCTCACATGAACTCAAGCTCAAAGCTTGCTGTTGTCGGCTCAGGGACCTTACCAAAAGACCTCTCAAAGAAAACAGCTCCACCGCTAACACCTTTGCGGTTGTTGAAACGGTACGGCGCATGTGAAGCGTCACTGAAAGAGTGAAGATGGACTGATCTCAGTTGAGTATCATCAACTTGACTCATGATGGTCTCATCTCTGCTTGGTAAACACAAGCATGCATGCATGTCAACATACAAGAATCTCAAAACCGCTTTCAATGCTTGTTCAGTTCCGTGCATCGGTTTTGCTTGTTGCGTCCCAAGAACAGACATCCATGTCTTCAAGTCATGACGCACCTGTGACAACCAAAGCAATTTTCCTAACGCCTTTCTGAAGCGTGAGTATGCTTCATCTGACAAAGGTTTCTGAAAGTTGCTATCCGTGAGTGTCTTCTCAAGATGTCCCGAAATGTCAGGCACATTCTCAGACCCACGGGTAACGCCATAATCCAGAAACGTAGAGTCAAGATAATGTGGATCAACACCCAGAGTGATCTCAGAGGAATCTCTTTCTCTTTTGATAACACGACCAATAAAGGTCAGGGATCCTCCCTCTTCTCCGATCTCTCCAGTTGTCTTCACAGGCACTACAGACGACAAAGTTGCAACCACATGTTCTTCGGCTTCCTTAGTGGTCGACAACAACAGAATGTCATCAACATACACAACACACAAACAAAACCCAATTTCATGACCATCTTTCACAATCTGTCCACCATACACACATGGTTCCAACGAATCAGACCAAAGGCCTACATGTTCAACCGTAAATGTCAAAAGCTGCAACCATGCCAGTGAAGCATCACGTAATCCGTTCAATGCCTTTTCAAGCAAATAGTAGGTCGCTTCACCTGATGGAAAGCTAATCGACAACGGCATTTTCAAGACAACATGTACACCAGTTCCCAATGGGCTATGCATGAAGGCATGACTCACGTCCAATGCACGCAAAAGCCACCAAATGAACACTTTCAATCGAAGGAGTCGGACTGCTAAATCCCAAAGATCTAGCTGAGGAGCCACGATTGAAGTCTTTCGCAACAATCCTGGCTCGAACCCTCTCACTGCTTTTGTAAGCTGCAACCCACCTTGACTGGATCAAACGAAGGTTCGGAACAGCCTTCTTCATGTCGTCCAGCTCTGACTGGGTGATGATGCGGCCAGTCTTGCAGTGTTCCAAGTTCCTAACCTCCTCTTGCATACCTTTGAAACCTTGTTCCAAGTCAAGCTCTTGCAAACTCTGGTCATCTATGATGCTGTCCGGTTTCCAAACCAAGACATCTTGACCTCCAAGACGCATCTTCACAAAATCATGCTCATTGCCTCGATTGAAACAAACAGAATCAAGAGAACCAGAAAACATTTCAGGAGATGTTGCCGGGGCAAAAGACGCTGGACCTTCAAGTGTACCCAAACTCGCAACCAACACAGGCTCACCACTACCAACCCAAAACCAATCAAAATCCATGTTTGTTTGAAGCAATTCTTCCGAATCTTCACGGATCTCTCTTTCCAACTGTTCTCGGTCGGTCTCAGCTTTCCTTTTAAACCTTCTAGTGTACTCAACCTGTGTTTCCGGCTGTCGCCGAGCGGACTCAGGTGTTGGTACCAATTCTTCATCATCGACCTCTTCTACTGGCACCTGAACCTGGGGTACAACTACAGGGCTCTCCTGAGAGAGTGCAGGTTCAACACGTCTTTCCTTTCTCCGTTGTTCCTCAAACTCAGCAAAACGCTTCCTACATTCCTTGTTGTGCCTAATACCAGGTGCTTCCATGCCACTTTCACATGCTGGACATCGACGAGTCGGTTCAAAACGTGATACGTCAGGTGAAGTTCTTTCAGAACCCTCAGGACTACCAATAGCTACATCTGCAGTATCTGCTGGTGACGTAGGAGATGGAGTGACAGAAACTCGAGACGGCTCTGCTGGAACTTCCTGTGGAGTCACGACAACGTTCGATCTTGCTAATGGCACTGCTGGCGCCAAACGCAACTCACCAGATTTCTTCTTCACACTGCTGGACTCTGGCAAGACAAGTTTGGGCTGTGAAGGTGCCGGCAAACTCTGACCTTTCAACTTCGCAACTCTTCAGGAGGTAGCTGACTCATATCAGCTGGTGCAGTCCCACTGTCATTCACAATTTGGGGTCTACTACCTACAGTCCCAGTGTCAAACTGTGTCAAAACACCCTGTCCCGAATTCAAATCCCATCTCAAAGGTGAAATAGCCCTGATGTTCCTAGCTACAAAACGCATCAACTCAGCTTTGCCATCCACACGAATGAGACCCTGCACAACTGGACCTCGTTCCAATCCCATGTGAATGAAAGTACACTCAACATTTCTCGTGGAAAGTGGTGAATGCTGCCGAATTGAATCAGGAATCTCTGCCAAAACCTGAGCACCAAACAAAGTCGAAACTGGTTTGGATAACTTCCTTCCTGAAACCATTTCCAATGGACTTCTGTCTGAACCTCGTGATGTTGAAAAATGGTTGTTGCACAAAGCCAAATACGTCAAAACGTCAACCAAATTCTCATGTGAAAATGTGACATCCAACCCTTGTGCATTCAGATCAGCCCTTAGTACAGAAAAGGATTCTTTTAATTCCCTAACTGCTCGCTCAGCCGACCCAATCGATCGATGTTGTTGTGGCGCGGCTCTCCGAATAGCGAACGTGCATCGGCCAGTGGAGGATCCAATGATCTCTCCCACTGCCCTCTCGCTATCGGTGTGGACATCAATGGAGACTGCCTTCGAAGTCAACCCAAAATGTTGAAGCCATACAACAATCTGTCTCCTGGCTGTTTCGACATCTTCTCCAACCACCACATAGCCAATGCACCTCGACATCATCTCGATCAACACAAGGATCTTCACCGAACCTGGGAGTTCGTCTGCAACGATCTCACCTGTTGTGTTGAGGAATGCAAAATCGGCCTGAATAGAAACCTCCTTCCTGTCACCTTTGTCTCTTCTGTGCTGAAAGACGGAACGACCCTTGGCACACTCCAAACAGTTCGGATTGAATGGAATATTTAAGTTACTCGCTACGACGCCAAGTGAAGAAGTCATCCATCCGAGTTACATAAAACACCGAGAGGAAACCCCGAAAAAACAAAACAAACAAAACAACAGGTGCACATGCGGTCGACATGACAAACTATTGAATCTGAAAACTGCAATCACTCGCACTCCCTTTTTTGAGACACAGCGTGGGGAAACTCAAGTCGTTCATTGCTGGAGCCATCAATCGATGTGACGGTGTCTTGTCACAGCTTTGCATTTTCACACATGTTTCCATTTCAACGACCTGCATTGGTCACATTGCCAAAAATTTGGCCCATCACATCAGAACACATCCAGCAGCTATTGCCGTCATGGCCCCTGCACACGATCAAGTAGTCCAAGGGTCGTCAGGTGCGACTTGAGCAGGCAGCGCAAGAGGTAGCACGGCTGTGGTGTCATGTCCACCGGTGTCAGGCGCTGGCTGTGCTGCAGTTGCCGTGCCGGGGCGGAGCTGCAGGATCTGATGGATGCTTTGAAAGATCAGCATCGAGTCGTCGAGCAACGATGCCATTTCACGATGAAGTTGGTCATCATATTTGTCATGAAACCAATCTGTGTAATCCGCGAGTGCCTGGATGGCCAGCGGGATGCGATATGCCATGGGCTGGAAGCCGTCGTCGAGGATGTGCGAAAGAGGCATATTCTCTCGCGGCAGCGCCAATTGGGAGCTTGTTTGGATGGGTTGCTCGGGAAACAATAATGCTTCCATGAGTATGAGCGAATGTGTCAACCCGCTCCACAGCTGGAAAAGGCTGTCCAAATAGCGAGGACGACCGATGAATTGTAAGACGGCCGTGCACGCTCCTACAATTCTTTCAAACTGCATGACCCTGTTGGCGGTGTCGTCGGACATCTGTTGTTGCAAAAAGGCAACGCCGACTGTCGCCATGACCGTAAAATTAATAATTTCCGGTGTCTGCATAGGAGGCTATATGAAAAGGGGTGGGAGAATCGGGCGGGACAAACAAGTCACCTGGAACCAAACGTTGCTTGTGAAGTTAAATTCTGTGACATGTTGACAGTTGAATTGTAAACATACTTCACTGACATCGTTTCACGTTTGTTTTGAGGTCCAGGACATGAACAAGACAGAACAGACATACATGGTACATACCATGGTGTTGGAACATCTCCAACAGTTTGTTTCCAAAAAACAGAGGTAAAATAAAAACAGGTTTGGACATTCAAACACGTTCGCGCAAAGACGCAGAAGAGACATGTAACCAAGAGGGTTAAACATCGCGGAGGACACCAGGGTCCAAAGAAATTTCAAGAGGGTTTTTGCTGGGTATTAAAGACCCAGAGAGAGTAGGATGGCATGCACAGGCATAGAGAAGAGGAAACTTGGCTAAAATTTTTCAGAAAATTTTTGCACGCATCATAACTTAAGGCGCTATCAGTTCCTGACAGCTTGCTTAAGTTACTCGCTACGACGCCAAGTGAAGAAGTCATCCATCCGAGTTACATAAAACACCGAGAGGAAACCCCGAAAAAACAAAACAAACAAAACAACAGGTGCACATGCGGTCGACATGACAAACTATTGAATCTGAAAACTGCAATCACTCGCACTCCCTTTTTTGAGACACAGCGTGGGGAAACTCAAGTCGTTCATTGCTGGAGCCATCAATCGATGTGACGGTGTCTTGTCACATCTTTGCATTTTCACACATGTTTCCATTTCAACGACCTGCATTGGTCACATTGCCAAAAATTTGGCCCATCACATCAGAACACATCCAGCAGCTATTGCCGTCATGGCCCCTGCACACCCCACATTAACCGCTGTTCTCAAGATTACCTATCAACTTATTGAGGTGTGATCTAACCAGGGCAACTGAAATGAACTTGACGTGGATACCCTGGGACGAATTCCTAGAAGGAGCGTCTGCTATGTTGCTTGAGGATGGGACTCTCGCATACCAAGCTGTGAGGCATGCTGCGTCCTCCTGCTCAAGGAGAGTTGCAACCAGCGAGGACCCAGGCCAGGTTCTCGCACTGCCACTAATAGCCACATCCCGAGTACCATTGTTGTCTACGTACATCACGCAAGGGCGATTCCTGAGAACTTTCCTCCAGAGCTTCACGCACAGGACCAACGCAAGCAGTTCAGCTTCAAAAATCACTGTAGACTTCGCTGGGTATCCTAGGGTCTTGAGGTCAGACATGGTCAGTGATATAGAGAGGGCGGCAATCTGATTACCAGCTTCGTCACAAAGAACACCACCAAGTCCGCAGGGCCATTGGAGGTCCTCGGGATTGAAACTCGCATCTGTAAACAAGAGCAAGGGCTTGTCCCAGGCTGCAGTTACTTCTCTGGGGCGCGCGGCAACAAGGCTAACAACGAAGGCTTGCAAGCATGCAACTGCATGATCAGACAGCGACTCACCACAACCCCTATAAGCATGGGCTGTGATGGCAGCCAAACAGAGTTTTGCCGAACGACCCCAAATTTGGCTCTTGGCAAATTGCATCCTACCCCTCAAGACCAACGCACCCTTAGGGCTGAGCTTCTTTGCAGAGATGGCTTGCTCCATTGTGGCCTTCAGCTCGTCGATCCTCTTCTGAGTGTTGCGGAAGAGGACGAAGCCAGACATCCATTGGGAGCAATCAATCTCAACCCCTAAGGCTTTAAAGCTGCTGGCAAATGGCAGGCTTTTGTCACCCTCTGAGACCATCCAACCCAACAAGCGGAAAAACTGCACTGTCGCTATCTCCATAGAGGCCACTTCGCATCTTCTACACAGGGTTATAAAATCGTCAAAGAAGCTGCTCCAGGGAAACTTGAGAGAAACACAACCGAGCCACCATAGGGAGTGGGCCACTCTAAGGAATGAATAAACAGACCTACTGGCTCCAAAGGGCAAGGCTTTCATGGAGTAGATTTTGGCTGATTTCGAAGAGGGATCATATACTGCGATATAGGAAACCCAGCGCGAGTGCGGGGAGACCCCGAGCTGTCTGTATGCTGAGGAAAGGTCTATTGTCTTTCCTAACCACTCAACATCACCATGTTGTCGGAGCAGTTCCATGCTAAGTGCAGCGACTACGTCAAGCGTGTGAAGCTTCGGGGCGTTCTCCACTTGGACTGTTTGGTTTACATTGGACGCCGTAAAGTCATCGATCAAGCGTATCTTGACAACATCGCCAGAGGATTGGCGTATCCCAAAACGCCTGCTAATAACGGCCGCCTCTTCAAGGTCATGCGCTTTCAGTGGCCCTTCTAACCAGCCACAGTCAACCTCATCCTGTGTTTTGCTGAAAACCTCTCTATCGATCTCGTCATCACCAGAGGAGCGTATGGAAGCAAGCATGGCCACACGGGATGCTCTCGCTGATGTCGCCAGCTCCTCCTCAGTAATCTTGGCAGGTTTAAAACCTGGTTCGAAAAATGGGACGTCAGGCGCTGCACCGGACAAGGTTATGCCGGAGGTCACCTCATCAAACACTGCAACATCCGGGTAATGGTAGTATTCCATCATCTCTTTCCACAAAAGCAGGCGCTTTGGTGCCAGGATGGCCTTCAGTGTAGGATGCAAGGAATCATGCAGGGTGCGTTCAGCAGTGCACAACTTTCGCGCTCTTGATAACCAAAAGTTCAAGGTGTCAGACCTATGTCTGGCGACTTCCTGTGGTGATTTCGAGGCCAAAAAGCTCAAGACCCCTTTCAAGGCACATGGTAACTGAGTCTCGCTTCCAGCAGGGTGCCCGGCTCCAGCTGCTGCAGAAATGAACTGCTCGCACGATCTATAGATTCCAAAATGCAAATGGTTCCAAGGTTTTCCATCGCAGTCATTGGCTGGATCGCTAGCACTTACATGGGCGAGACTAGGGGGGTCATTACCTGTGTTAAATGTATGGGGAAGATTGCAATTAACTTCACCATTACCAGGACTAACCCATAAACTACCCCCTGGACTACCCCCTAAACTACCGTCTGGACTACCCCCATTTGACCGGAGCGGAGGTCGTTTCAAAAGGCAGGATCCGGCAGGCAGGCCAAACCAAGGAGCAGTCAACTTTTCACCGGGCTGGATTGGGGCTGCGCAGTCCGCAGGCACTTTCACACTAATGATTTTGAGAAACTCGGACACCAGGGGGGCAATTTTGCTAGCTTTTGGCTGCACACCTACGACTGATCGTAGGTATTGATAGGACACATCCTCAGGCGGGCAAAAGGCGACTGGTGGCGGTTTCCAACCGCGCAAAACAAGCTCCATTGCAAGGGAGTATGCTATATGGTACGCAAGCGGCATGGGGTACGCGGCTTCTTCTGAAGTAGAAAATTGCCGGCCGGCTGGCCCATGCATAATTCCCCATGGCTTGTGCTTGTGTGAAGAACTAAGCCCTGGGCAGACTCGGTTCAGTTCAAGCAATGTAGATGTGTTATGTGCGAGCGAGGTCCATTTAGGTCGGTGGGACCCGTATGCGCATGCCTGATGGGCTGTGAAATGCAGTCGGCCTATCAATGGTTGGAAGAAGGTGGTCTTCCAGTACAGGGATAATCTGGGGTTTTCAATACAAACAAGCTTATTATTATCAAGACAAAACTCCGCGGCTGCGGTGATGAAATGATAAATGGCATTAGCTTGCGAGACCCTGAGGCGATTGACATAGGACATGCTTACCACTCCATTGGGCTGCTCATCTGTGCGGAGTGGCTGAGGTCCCGCAATAAGAAAACCATTAGGCAATTTAATGGGGATGCCACGAGCTCTGCTACAGGTTCCGCATGGAGGCGCTGCGAACATTCCAACACAATTTGGAGACTTAAGCCAGGTCCAGCAAAGGTCACGACCTGATTTTGTTGTTAAGTCTGCAATGAGGACTCGGCCGGCATTCTTTTGCTTTATGTGGTCTACCCCAAATGAGGCAGAAAGTCCTAGCTGTTGAAGACAGGCAGTGACCCTGGCAGAGCCCGCACACAATTCAATAATGAAGGGGTCTTTGGCTGTAATGTTGCGACTCGATGATGTGGCGTCAGCGGTCGCACGTGCATGGTCATGGGTGAAATCAGGCTCAGGCTTATTGGAACAACTATTGTTATGTTGTGCATCAAATTGCAAAAACTGGTTGTTGTGAGACTGATCTGCATCAGCTCGGTCACACACAGAATCTGTACAAGAGGAAAATTTGCGTTTCCGAGCAGTTGACTGGCAGGCGAGTCAATGTTTCTTGTGATCGGCCATTGAATGCGGCCCATAACATATGCAGCAAAGGTGATATCCCTTTTTGCATCGGGATCCCTCGGCAACAGATTCCCGGCAACGTTTGAAAGCGAAATCAAAGCAAATTGGTGCACCGTCAGGAGTGGTTGCAGTCCCTCCTGCTTCTCTGATCTCCTTGGGGATTCTTTGGTCTGATTTCTTACCCTTACCCTTTCCTTTTGGAGGGTATGGCTTGGGCCGGAAGCCTCCTTTCTTTCCTCCTTTGGCAGCTCCATATGGTGCAGTGCTCTTGGGTGCAGCATGTGAATCACTTGCAGCACTTGAAGCTTTTGGCTGTGCTTTTGAGACCAAAGGAAGAAGGGCAAAACTCACTTCGTAAGTTTTCAACGATGCCTCCAATTCTGTATCCATTGCAAGGGCTCCCGCTGCGTCTGGTCGTGGCTTAACGTTCCTTTCAATCAGTGAGGTCCAAGCTGCTTTGTCAGCCGATATGAGTTGGGATACGCTGCATCTATTGTAACCCGTTGGTGGCTCTCTGTTCAGGTGTGAGAAGAGAAGCTGTACGTACTTGTCATGTCGTGTAAAAGACATCACACCAGCAAAGTCAAGTGCCAACCCACGGCGTTTCAGGGCTTCCAGGAGTTGATAGGATGATTGCACATTGGTTTCAATCTCTGCATCCTTGTCTTTCACTATGATCTTTGATGATTCCACCTCAAGCAACTTCGTTTGTGTCTTGTTGGTCGCTGCAAGCTCCGTAAGTCGGCTATAGCACTTCTCCAAAGGAATGCATCGGAGCACATTCTGGTCGTAAAGCTGCGTAGCTAAATCCAGCAAAGTGTGGCTTGGCTCAGAGTGTCCTTCGATCAGGACTCCACTCAAACGATTTCGCAGGTTTGCCAACCTGGCTTCTCTTTCAGCTTGAGGTACACGTCTGGCAGCTGTGGGCTCAGGGTTTGTGACCTGCTCCTTCAACATAGCCAGGAGTTGTGTCTGACTCTCAAATAAGAGACGCTTCAAAGAAGAAACGGCTCCAATCGTTGCAGTCGGCTCCATCTGTCTTACCCATGTTGTAAAATCTTCAGCAACTATCGGTTGGCCAGGCTGGCCATGTGCATATGCCAACGAGGAGATTGTGGTGATCCCTGAGTTCCTCAGTGCAATCCTGAGAGGTTGGGGAACACGCACTTGTTCCAAACGCAGATTGAATTGTGCTTCTGAATCAACCAGAGATGTCATTGCTTCACCACCGCGCGAGGGTATCGGCAAATAAGAATTAATGACAACCAAAAATGTTTTTCTTTTGTTGTAACAAGTAGTCACTAAATGTCTGCCCAAAGGTTTCAATGAAGACAGAAAATTTTTAAAAGGATTTTCCAACACGATGTTCATGCATCAAATTCCTTGAACCAGAAACATAGATGGAATCATCTCCATTCCACTCGGTTGGTCACTTATGTGTGCATCACTCATCAAGAGTTGACATCGATTGCAGTGTATGGTTTATCACTGAATGACATGTAAACAAATGAAATCAAGATGAAACAAGTTGAAAAATTGGCTAAACAAGCAGCAACGCGTTGTGTTCTTTTTCACCACCAGCACGGTTGGAGTGCTGTGGCACATTGCATCACAAAGGTGTCATCACCTCCTATTGCATGACTTGCATAGGACATTCCATGCAGTGGCTTCCGTGCATGGCTCATAGGCATGTGTCAGCCTTTTACCGCATACCAGGATGCGTATTCCTTCATGGCAGTCATTCTCAAACCGATGCACAAGTCGGGACTTTGCATGGACAAACCACTTTTCTTCCACAGGGATCCTTGCACGAAAACGTTTGACCCTAGGAGGTGGCAAATCAGGCATGTCAGAATCTTCGGAAGATAGTTGTCCCTCATCATCTGAGGAGGAGTCATCTGACTCAACATTAGGCTCGTCCCCTGCAGCACGTTGAGCATCTTCGGCACTGGTTGGCTCACCAACTGGGGCTTCAGGTGACACTTCAGAGCACTGCTGGGATTTGATTGATTCAACATCAACGCAATCATTGCCATCAGCAGTGTTTGGACCTGCCATGTTCCCATCAGCACCCATTGCTCCAAAGAAACGAGAGCGTTGCTCGTCAGGAGAAAAGTTTCCATTGGCAATTTCATCAATGACCCGCTGTAATTCAACCACAGGGGACACCATCAGATCACGCGAGTAAACAGAAAAAGTTTCGTTCAAACATGATGTATGACGTCCCAACAGTGACCTTGTTGCGGGGCTCAATCCATACCTGGCGGCCCAAGCAAGTGTCGTTGCCTTCAGGCTGTGACTGGAGAAGAGAGGGGCATTGTCATCATGTCCATTGTTTGGCACTCCCAAAAAACTTCGCAACATAGCTGAAACTTCTGAGGACATCAAACTGCGGCCCAAAAAGGCTCCCGACTCACCAGCTGGTGCTGGTAACAACGGACCATCAATTGGGTTAACCAAGTTGACACCTGCTTCCGCAAAGACTTGCATGGCATCTGCAATCCAAACCTCTCCATTGACTCCACGCGCAGGGATCAAAATTGGTAAAAGCCTCGTTTTCAAAGCTGCAAGACGACCTGCCTTGTGGTTGCACGTCTCGATGATGACAAATCCACCGCTGGGCCCAAAATCAGTTTCAATGGAATGGATGGACTGGAAATCACTGTTACGGCATCGTCCATAAAGGCTGAATAGTATGTAACCAATGACAGCTCTGTCCATGATATGTAGGTTCTTGTTTGTCAGGCTGGAGTGCAGTCCAAGCACTTGTGCAACAGTCAACACTGAAGCTTGTTTCAACAAGCGTTTACCAGCGAGCATGATTTCAGAGATCCCGACCAATCTCCGGCTTGTCACTGCCGATGCCAGCCCATCAAAACCTAGCACGAAGTGAGCAAAACGCATTGCAGACAGAGTGGAATCTGCTCTGGTAGCTGGCGCACTTGTGTCCCTCAGGAAAGTGAAAAACCGCCACAAAACATTTTCACAAAACGGGTCAGTGCAGTCCTCACATGAATGTGCAGCCCAACGCAAAAAGGTCAACAGTGAGTTTGCTCTCTTCACTAAGGTGGCTGGTGACCTAACACCAACAACAGCATCAATGATACCTCTTGCACCCTCAGATTGTGATGCTTCGTCACCCAGCGCCAAAATGTGTCGACCGGTGACACTGGCAGGCAGGCAGTGTTTCAACACAACAAGCAATTTGCTGATGGCTGCGTCTCTGAGGTTTGCACGCCTTTCTTCATACAACTTACCATTGGCACAAGACACACAGGTTGCAAAAATCGGGACAGAGGTAGTGGTACTGGCCGCTTCTGCAACTTTTTCTGCAACAGCTTGCGGTTCAACCCCAAGTCCAAAAGAGCAATCTGCACTTATCTCCATTGCAGGTACAAGCGGCTGAGGCACTGGCTCATCGGAAAAAAAATCTTTGAAAATTCCAACTTCCCAGGGCATCTTCAGGCCACTGAAATCACAATTTGAGAGTAAACTTCTTGCAAAAATTGCATCATGCTGTTCACGTGCCAAGGTAGGTGAAGTGTCATACATTCCTGTCTGTAAGACTGCAGAGCTCTGCACACGATGAGACTCCTCCACAAAATCGTCCAGGCGGCATGGGGCAGGATCACCTGACAGCAAAGAAACGTCATCTGGAATGTCATGGTTTGAATCGATACCAGGGCCATCAAAAATATCAACAGTGACACCATCATCAGTGAAGTGTTGCTGCAACGTCTCATCAATGCACACGCCAAGTTGTGAGCCAGCACCATCGGCAACATGCTGAGGAAAACCATCACCGTTTGAATGCAACTGCAAATCATCAGGAAAGTCAGTCATTGTCAAACCCCCACTTAACCAAAAAGGAGCCAGGCGAAGCAAGAGGACCAGCCAATGCAGAAACCAACTGCTGCTGAACATACAGGCCAAAGAAGCCAGGAAGAAGTCTGAGGTCCCACTGCGCCCAAATGAATGGAGGTGTCTACAGCTACTCGGCCCCGATGAGTGGCATCAATATGCCGCCGCCCCATGCTACAAACAAGTCACCTGGAACCAAACGTTGCTTGTGAAGTTAAATTCTGTGACATGTTGACAGTTGAATTGTAAACATACTTCACTGACATCGTTTCACGTTTGTTTTGAGGTCCAGGACATGAACAAGACAGAACAGACATACATGGTACATACCATGGTGTTGGAACATCTCCAACAGTTTGTTTCCAAAAAACAGAGGTAAAATAAAAACAGGTTTGGACATTCAAACACGTTCGCGCAAAGACGCAGAAGAGACATGTAACCAAGAGGGTTAAACATCGCGGAGGACACCAGGGTCCAAAGAAATTTCAAGAGGGTTTTTGCTGGGTATTAAAGACCCAGAGAGAGTAGGATGGCATGCACAGGCATAGAGAAGAGGAAACTTGGCTCAAAAAAAAATCAGAAAATTTTTGCACGCATCATAACTTAAGGCGCTATCAGTTCCTGACAGCTTGCGTCCCTGTCTCCTGTGACGTGCCAGTTCACTGTCGTCTCCTCCAGACACAGCTGCGACAGAAAAGTCATGAGTGTTACTCACAGTCAAGTCAGACCTGTATGCACTACTACTACCAACATCGGGATACAAACGAACCCAAGGACAATTGGCAAAATACGCAATATCAAGACAATGCATTCCAAGCTTCTCATGAAACAAATCAAAACCTTTCGGACCTTGTGTGAATTTCCATCCCGAATCTGCCAATGACGTGATTGACAAAATGTTGTGCCGGATGGAACCCACCAAAACATTCAAACGTGCTTTCTTCCAACACCAATCATCACCTGATGTGCCTGACATGTGCATCTGTACTCCAATCTCAGCAGTGCCTGACATGTTGACTGAGGATCCATTGGAAGCTTTGTAGCCACCTAACCCCTCACTGTCCTGCAGCACTGACCTGAAGGCTGACAAGTTCGATTCAGCCAAAACACTTGTGGATGCACCAGAGTCAAGAAGCCACCAAGAAGCATCGGTGTTGTCAGCGACCTGTGAAAGCAAAGGTCGCAAAAACTCAAACTAGACGACGGATGGCCCGAGATCGTAGAGGAGCAGGGTCTTCTCGTTAGTATGGAGACGCAATTTGAGAAACGATGTATGAAAGATGTGTTATAGGCAGTCGAGAAGAGGAGTATCAAGACCAAATAGTGAGAAGCTTTTACACACAGTAGCTTTTACACAGACACTTTTACACAGAAAGCTTTTACCCACAGAAGCTTTTACATACAGAAGCTTTTACACAGACACGTTTACACAGAAAGCTTTTACCCACAGAAGCTTTTACATACAGAAGCTTTTACACACAGGAGTTGCTTTTACACACAAATGCTTGTACACACAGAAGCTTTTACACATAGACGCTTTTACACACAGGCACTTTTACACACAGACGCTTTGACACACAGACGCTTTTACACGGACACTTTTACACATAGACATGTTTACACACAGACACTTTTAGACACAGACCTTTTTACAGACAGGAGCTGCTTTCAGACGCTTTTACACGGACACTTTTACACACAGACATGTTTACACACAGACACTTTTACACACAGACCTTTTTACAGACAGGAGCTGCTTTTACACACAAACGCTTTTACACACAGGCACTTTTACACACAAACACTTTTACACACAAACACTTTTACACACAAACACTTTTACACACAGACGCTTTTACACGCAGACGCTTGTACACACAGAAGCTTTTACACACAAACACTTTTACGCAGAAACACTTTGACACACAGACGCTTTTACACACAGACGGCTTGACACACAAGCGCTTTTACACACAATCACTTGTACACACAGACGCTTTTACACAGAGGCCGGCCCAAGTAGTCACAGCGAAGTCATCGTTGTCGTGGCGACCTCAGCAATCCGACGGGGTGGTGTGGTGAAGTCCTATTTCCATGTGCCTCGTAACCAGCATGTATAAACATGTCATGCGGGCTATGTGCTTTGGGGCCCCCCAACCAAGGTGGTTTGCCATCTCCTGAAAAAAAGGTATAAACGGGCGGACATGGCAGGCAGCGACCGTTTCTGGGCTGGGACACGCACAGTATTACAATATGATAGAAGTTGGTTCTTTAGGGTCATACATCCATCTTTATATCATATCTCTATCTCTATCTCAATATAAAATATATCGATTTGTTTCTTTGTGGTAGCAGCTTATCCAGGTAATCCATCCCATCCCGGGGCCCTGACTCGATGCAAACCTAGCTGCACAGACCAACAATGCGGACCCGCAAAGCATTCAAGGACTATGACTAATGACTGTGACAGATCACATTCAGCGATGTCCCGGCACAACTATACGCGCAAAAGGAATCGGCAGCTTTATTGCTCTTCTATGGAGTCTCAGACCGTTCTGCTTGACCCACGCCGATACACTATGGTGAGACAGGATGCACTACGGTGAAACTGAATGTCTCAAGCAAAGATGCGTGCATCAGCAAGTCTCAGACAGTTCTGGTTGACTCATGCTGATGCACTTCATTTTCAAATTCAATGCTCAGACAGTTCTGGTTGCAATACAAGAATCAAAGTTAAACATCAAATAACTAAGCTGCTCACAAAGGTGTTGACGCACGCCGATGCACTACGGTGAGACAGGATGCACTACGGTGAAACTGAATGTCTCAAGCAAAGATGCGTGCATCAACAAGTCTCAGACAGTTCTGGTTGACTCATGCAGATGCACTTCATTTTCAAATTCAATGCTCAGACAGTTCTGGTTGCAATACAAGAATCAAAGTTAAACATCAAATAACTAAGCTGCTCACAAAGGTGTTGACGCACGCCGATGCACTACGGTGAGACAGGATGCACTACGGTGAAACTGAATGTCTCAAGCAAAGATGCGTGCATCAACAAGTCTCAGACAGTTCTGGTTGACTCATGCTGATGCACTTCATTTTCAAATTCAATTGACATCAGTGGCTACCGCGGTTGATCTTTATCTGGGCACCTCCACGGACCTTAGGTAAAATCCAACTAACATGCTATATAATATGAACAGGTACTACCACTGCCTCGATCTGCGAAATTCGTATCCTGTCTCATGAGGGCGGTGTGCTTTGGGGCCCCGCAACCAGGGTGGTTCTGGCAGGCGGCGGACATTGCTGGCCACCTCAGCATTTCGACGGAGGGGTGAAGTTCGTACCATGTATTTGTACTTTGTATTGCTCAGACAGTTCTGGTTGCAATACAAGAATCAAAGTTAAACATCAAATAACTAAGCTGCTCACTAAGGTGTTGAGAAGACAAAGAACCGACCTGGCCCCCCGCCAGGGTGGGGGAACCATCCTATCCCCTGAAAGTCTTATAGGAGCAGGCCATAATTACATACCTATTATCAAAATCTGAAGCTAAGGCCTAAGGCTGTTAATCTGAATATTGTAGAGATCTAAGACGACGACTCGACGATGTGCATCTCATCACAATACGTGACCAAGTGTGTAATGTCATGGCGAGCCTAACTAAAACTTGTGTCAGTCCCGATATTGTCCTGCGGAACCTTGAAGCGATCACTGCCCGCAGACTATCGCAGCTGTTGCATGCCATTCAGCATGGTCGAGTCCACTGGCACTGTGCTGCAAAACGATAAGTGCGCGCCATGCAAGCGCGCCGTTCCAGTGAGAAGTAGATCTGGGTGGCCTCCTCGAAGTCGCTCAGTTGGAAGTAGTGGTTCGTATGTTTGTTGTCGGATCGCATCCAGGAATTGGTCGTGCAGCCTTGCGCAAGTTCGGAAGCTGCCACTGTGTCCTCACCGCATCGATGAGGAACTCTCCCTGGTCAAGGCTCGCCTATGGATCTCCTAGTCCAAGGCCCAAAGCTCCTATACTCCTTGCTCACCCTTTTCTTCACACATCTGTGATGACCTTGGTGATCGCGGTGATGTTCTTCTCCAGGAAATAGCTAGTTACTTGCTTCTTCAAAATGACTTCGTTAACCATCAATTTGAAGCCACTTGATCAATCTCAAACAAGTTCAATGGACCATCTCAAAGGGGATCACTTTGAAGAAGCAACAGAAAATAGTTTTTGCTTTTCTTTACTTAGAAAAGTCCGTCCGTCCAGAGAGAGGCCTATCTGCCCACAACAAGAGATCGGGGGGGAACCAGGGTTACTGGCACTGCAGGCCAAAGGTTATCATAGATTCAATTGGGAGGAAGTGACAATAGATGTACCATGGCTGATGGCGTGACCATGGTACACCATCACTTCAATTGAAAGTCATAAGACCTGAGGAGGAGCCTGGACACGTATACCTTATATCGTGCGTGCATGTGTTGATGGGGTGGTGTGGTGAAGTCCCATTTCCATGTGAACCGGAAAAAAAAGGAAATGCTCTTACTCGAAACCAGCATGTATAAACATGTCATGAGGGCTGTGTGCTTTGGGGCCCCCCAACCAAGGTGGTTTGCCATCTCCCCAAAAAGAAGTATAAACGGGCGGACCTGGCAGGCGGCGAACGTTTCTGGGCTGGGAGAAGCACAGTATTACAATATGATATAATGGGATGGCCCTTGTGCTCCTTTCCATGTGCTTTTTGGGTTTAGGGTCCGGACTCCTGACTGTGACTGGAATTGAAACTCTTATCTTAACACTCATACATCCATCTCTCCATCTTTATATCATATCTCTAGATCTATCTCAATATAAAATATATCGATTTGTCTCTTTGTGGTAGCAGCCTGCCTATCCAGGTAATCCATCCCATCCCGGGGCCCTGACTCGATGCAAACCTAGCTGCACAGACCAACAATGCGGACCTGCAAAGCATTCAAGGACTA